GGCAGGAGGAGTGCAAGTGGGCCTGGGTGCTTGCTGTGAGATAGGCAAAGACCCTTCTGCACCAGACTTGGCACCAGGGGCAGACCTTCCCCTCTGCAGTCCTCAGGTCCTGTCTATTCAGAATATTTGTGCCTTACCAGGATTAAGGCCACACCAGAGTCAGCCTGGGTTTACAAGGGGATCCACATCTGTGCCTCCACTACCACGTGATGTCCTGCATAGACCTCCCATTGCACATGCCCACAGGTGGTGAGTCTGTTCCTCCCTCCCCTCTGCAGCTCCTGGTGTCCCAGGGCCCACTACCCCTCCTAGCAGCCACACTAGGAGGTACTGGGGATTGAACTCAGAGCCTCATGCTTGCTAAGCAGGTGCTCTACAGCTTGAGCCACTCCACCAGCCCTTTTCTAAGATCTTTGTTCTGCTGATTTTACAATGCAACATTTTCCAGAGAGGATGCTTCCTTCTGTCCCTGCACCGCACTCCAGCTCAGATGTCGCCTCCTCCCCCTAAGTTGCCTCAGTGGTCCCCTCTCCCCTCCAGCCCAGCCTACTTGGGTGGAGAATCTCCAGGCTCCCAAGCTGCCAGCCAAGACCATTCAGAGGCTGGGCCAATTGCTAATCCAGCCTCATCTCACGCCTCTTACCTCTAACCAGGCTTTATGTTCAAGCCATCTGGAAGTGGCCAGTTTCCTTGCATATGACTTGGCCTTAGATTTTTCTGTGAGCTTTCACTTATTTTTCTTGTCAAGAGCCTAAGGTTTCACCCCGTTTGCAAGTTAGCAGGTCAGCCTCTGCATTCTTGCTAGGCAGGCACTCTACCACTTGAGCCACACCCCCAGTCCAGCCTCTGCATTCTCATTGGTGCTGCAGACATGAGACTCTGGGGCCAGAGGCAAAGGACACATTTGCTGGGGCTCTTTTACAAGTCCTCTGAGTGCTCTCAGAGTTGGGCTCAGGTGGGTGCTGTGCATGTGGTGAGTCTGAGGCATGGTTAGGAACCTCAATCTTTTCAAAAAGGCTGAGCTGGGCACCAGTGGCTCATGCCTGTAATTCTAGCTACTTGGGAGGCTGAGATTGGGAGGATCAGAGCCTGGGGCAGAAAGTGAGACTGTCTCTAAAATAATCAGAGTGAAAACGGTTAAAGGTATGGCTTAAGTGGTAGAGAACCTGCCTAGAAAGAAAGCCCTGAGTTCAAACCCCAGTAACACACACACACACACACACACACACACACACTGTGGACAAGTCTTCCCCAGGCATGCAGAAAAGCAAGAGAATGAGCTCTCAGTGGGCCTGCAGTTTCTTTCAGTCCCTTCCTCTCCTGCCAGTTCCTTCTCCTCTCAGCCCAGCTCAGACACCTGTCTCCAGGAAGCCCTCTTTGTTTCCTCCAGGTGGTCTGCATGACTTCCACATTCTCAGGCTGTCATTATATAGCTCACAGTGGGCTGAAAATGTTCCCAAACTCTAGCAAGCCCTAACATATGTCCCCTGCACTCAACTGTGGACCACAAGGTTCCTGCATGTGGATTGGGAGTATAACAGAAATGTAGAAACTGTTTTTGCTAAAAAGGACGGACTCTTCACCTGGGCCCACATGGGCACTAAAAGCAGGAGGAAAACCTGGCACCCTTGCCTCCATGTTCATTTCTCTTTTGTCTTAAAACTTTGGGTCAGACTCCAATTTAATGCTGCACATAGGCCTGAGTCACTCAGGGGTGTCTATCTAAAAACTGGTGATACCTAACCTGTCAGGATGAAGGCACAGAGATGAGCAATCAAGGCGTCTATCATCATTTACAACGTCCTGCTCCAGACTCCAGACAAGGCACCCAAAAGTCTCTGGTCATTGTCCTAAACCTGCAGTCACCTTGGATTCCAGAAACAGCAGAGCCTTACAGACAAATCACCCAATGATGAGGTCAACCTCCAAGCAGGAGCAATCATCTATCTTATGGGAACTGGATTGTCCCCTCAGGCAATAAGGACTTCTTTGGCTTTGGGCCGCCCTGCAGAGCCAGAAGTAAGGTCATGATAAACTGCACCACAGTGTGACCAAGACTGCTTCATTATGGATATGCCTCCCTCCACCCCTGCCCCAAGTCCTCCTCTTCAGTCTGCACTGGAAGATGGGCTGAGATGCTTCAGCCTCCCATTCATCTTCCCCATGTAGCTATGTTGATTAAAGTCCTTCCCTGCCTTTCACCATTACTTCCATTTGTTTTCTTTGGGGTGAGTGGTCACTGACATGTTGGAACCTCCAGAGTAAGGCCTCTGGCCTAGGGCTCCGGTTACAGTAGATGGTGTCCCCTCCTCTGGGCAGATGCCATCCCACGGCAGGCTGTAGGCCTGGCAGGCAGAGTACAGCTCTTTTTGTCACCCCAGCTGGTGACTTTGGTTCCATGACTGTGTGTCACCCCAGCATTTACATTTTACTGAATCATCAGAGACTTCTGTCTTCTCCCATCCAGAGGAACTTAGGTGGCCCCTGCAGCAGGCCTGGAAAGTTGGGGTATAAAAGCATTCTCATTTTTAAAATGGGGAAACCAAGGCATGAGCTGCTAAGGACTTGCTGAGGACCCATGGCTGACCTGGAGTCCAGGTCTCCTGCCTCATAGGTCAGGTTCTTCCCACCATCCTGCAGAGTAGGTTTGTGACCTTGAAATGGCAAAGGCTCAGAGTTCACTTTTGACCCAGGGCTGCATGTGCTGCAGGGTGATTTCTGGAGAACCTTCCTGAGCTTATGGAAGCTGATATTTCCCAGCAAACAGTGTGACAATGGGGACAAGGGAAAGCCACCACTGCAAGTTGGTGCTTTCTCTCCTAAACCCTGCTCCATGGGATTTTCCTGCAAAGGAAGGAAAGACCCGCTTCCTGCCCAGTTATTCCTCACTCCAGGTGATGCTGCCTGCAGCTGGTGGTCCCAGCCCTGTGTTCTGGCCCCTGAGTGTGCACCCAACAACCATGTCAGCAGGTGTGTGCCAGGCTCTCCACACACAGCCCTGGACTGCCCAGGGGAGGGCAGGCTCACCTTCAAATGTGTGTGTGTATGCATGTGTGTGTGGGTGTCTGTGCTACACCCCAAGGACTGTGCCCACCTTGTGGTGCCCTGCTCCTTCCCCCTGTCCAGCTCTGTCCTCTCTGCCAGCCTCACCCATGGGCCTGGCTCCTAGCACAGAATCCCACACACTCCATTAAGGTGTGGTGGTGCATCATGGCCAGGCATATTCAGGGCCAGTTTGAGACTTTTTATGATGGGCAGACCACAAGGGTGGTATAGCAGTAGGGCTGGAGCATGTCAGGTCACTGCAGAAGCCCTGGAAGGCCTTTCCCAGCACTGCAGCCCCAGCCCCAGGGCCAGAAATGAAGACACAGTAGCTCAACAGGGTAGGGGACAAATGCTAGGGAAAGACACAGATGAGCTTCTGTTGCACATTACAGACCGTGACTCTGTCACTCTTGGACACACATGCACGCTTTGTGCTGCTGAGCCTTTTGTGGGTCTGTGGAGAAGTCCACTCCCTCCCGGGCCTCAGGAGTCAGGACAGTCCTGCAATGCTCCCTTCGGCTGGCTGCTCAGGGTCCTTCCAGAGCTGGGTTCCAGGGGCAAGGCTTATCTGACTTTGATTTTTTATAAACTGGACACTTGGGATGCTTGTAGCAGCAGGAAAGAGCCCTGGATGTGGTGACGGGCTAATCAACTCTGCACTTGGGCTTGGACTGCAAGGCCTTAGACCAATCACCTCCTGTTATGGACAATTCGTGTGTGGAAGTTTGAACCTCCAGTACCCAGAATGCAATTGAACTTGGAAAATGGGCCTTTTAAAGAGGTAAGTTAAATGAGGCCATTAGGGTGGCTCCTCACCCAACAGACTGTCCTTATGAGAGACACCAGTAATATACCCGGAGACAGGCCACGTGAGGACGCAGAGGGCAGTGGCCACACTCAAGCTGAGAGGCCTCGAGAGAAACCAGCCAGGTCCGCATCCAGATCACGGACTTCCAGCCTCCAGAGCTGAGATGATCAGTTCCTGCTGTATAAGCCCTAGTCTGTGGTGCCACTCGGACACCCCTTTTCCTTGAGCCTTGATGTCCTCCGTAAATTCCCCCACTCCCCATCCCCACCTCAGGGCGGAGGCACCAGGATGACAGAAACTTCAGGGGCCCTGCCTCTCCTGCTCTTCTCTGTGGACTTACAAGGAGAGTCCCCCTCGCCTCTCCTGATGGGTGGCCCGAGCACTGGTCTGAGGGCAGGGGACTGGCAGTGCTCTTATAGCAGTCCCTCAGTCCAGCCTACCAGCTCTGTTGCTGTCCTGGGAGCCAGGCAGAGCTGGTGCCCAGTTTACCCTGTGAACCCTAATCCTACCCGAACTTGGGTCCCAGTTGGTGCTTGGACAAATGGACCCTCTGACTTTATCCAGTGTTTCAGTCCTAAGGAGCCAAGGCAGGCACTGCGCCTTTCAGCGCAGGGCCAATGGCAGAGTGAGAAACAAAGGAAGATGAAGACAAAGATATTGTCTGCATGGGGCTGGTGGTGGGGCAGGGGGCAGGCCATCTAGGATGATGGCTGCTGTCTCACACTGGGAAGCCAACCGCCAGGGCTGGCTGCATCCTTTCACACTTCTCTCATCTACAGACTGGCTGAGTGAGCTGGCTGGTGCCCAGGGGTTTGAGTCAGCTAAATCCAGCTGCCATTCCCTGGGCGCCCCACTCAGGGCCATTCACGCAGGCTCCACATGAGCTTTGTGCTTCTCTGCAGGATCTAAAAAGAGTGCTGACATTTAGTAGCCACTCAGCAAACACCTATGTTTAATCAATGCAGAGGACATGGATCCCTTAGAGAAAGCAGAAGTATCAGACAACTGCCATCTGATGGGACATCTCTCATGAGAGAGATCAGCCCAGAGCTACAGCTACATGGATATGGATGGTCTGGCTCAATCTGGGGGAGTCAAGGAAGGCCTCCTGGAGGAGACTGGCCTTGAAGGATGTATAGTTGACCAAGTGAAGATCACAGGGAATGGGATTCCTGGGAGAGAAATGACCCAAGCTGGGAACAAGGGAACCAAGGATGGTGCAGATGAAAAGATGACCAAGGTTGAAGGACAGCCAGGACAAGGGCCCTGAGGGCTCTGGGTGGCTGAACCCTCCTGTGGATGGGTCCTAGGCTAGCAAGCAGAGCTCCAACCCAGTTAGAGAAGGAAACACCTTTTTCCAAAGGGCTTTAATTACACCCCCCACCACAGTGCACCTTAAAACAATTATGGAAACCCTGTCAGTTTTCCTGTGGCAAAGGCTGGGCTTGTCCCCTGGGGCTTGGTGTGGCAGTCCCACTGTGTGTCTGGCTGCTTCCGGGGGTTCAGGGGCCGTGGGGAACGGTGGGCACTGGTGGCTGAGGGCAGGCTCTGGGCAGGGGTGGGAGCCTGTGTCTTCATCATATAGCCTAGATGCTGGGCAGGTCCTGGTTCCATCCTGAGGGGCACAGGGAGCAGCTGTGGCCAGTTGGCCCCCCTTCCTCAGTCAATCCTGAGAAAACTGAGCTCAGGTGTTTCTCTAGAAAGACCAAGGATGGGGAGGAGGTGGCAGAGGGTGCTGTGTGAACAGGGGTGGGTTGGTTTGTTATAGCTGGCTGGACAGCCTCTTCCCTCTTGGGGTCTACTTCCCTTCCTTAATGACGATCATGGCCTCATGGCCGCTCAGTGCTATGACTCTGCCTCAAGAAGCACCCCTGGCCACTGCTTTTTGTTATTTTGCAATTATTCTGCCACTTGGGTTAGTCATGCTGGTGGGTGGCACTCACGTGTGACATGGGTGTCCTGTTGGTAGTAGGTGAGTGGTGTCCGATGTGGTGGCACACACATGAATGAGTGGGTGTGGCTGAGTATGAACACAGGGGTGAGCAAGTGACAGCCAGTCCAGTCCCCAACCCTCTGTCCTGCTGCTCCAGGAAACACTGCCAGGGCAGGGCCGCGGTTTCACAGGAAGTTGGGCTCCCGCACGACGAGGCAGGGAGGGCTGGCGCTGCCCCCGCCGCCATCCAGGGGCCGGTACACGAAGTGGAAGTCACGCTTGGGCTCGCTCCGCAGCAAGTAGCCCTTGATGCTGTGGGGCAGCGCGTCGTCCGCCAGCTGGAAGCAGCGGCCGTCCACCAGCACGAAGAGCCGGTGCTCCTTGGGCTGCGCCACCTCGAACTTCTCCGCGCACTGTGCGCACAGCGCCTGGGCCGCCGTGTCCGCCCGCGACGCCAGCGTCCGCGCCTGCTGATCCGGCTCCAGGTAGGACACGCAGATGAAGTCCTGGCGGGGGTGGGGTGGGGGGGAGAGGACAGAGACAGGTCACCGGCAGGCTCGATCGGGTGTTCTGGTCACTGCACCCCAACGTCGCAGTGGAGTGGCCTTGGGCTCCCCTCTATACAGAGGGGGTCGCAGGAGCTGTTGTGAGGCTGGGAGCCCGAACACCTGCGTCCCCTTCTTACTCTGCCACTGAGACAGCTGGGCGACCCTCCCCTCTCTGGCCTGGCTCTCTTGCATGATTCAGTGATGGCAGAGCCAGCGCGCCCCCTGGCGGCCAATCCACAAGCTCGACTTCATTCACTCATCACTTCCTCCTCATCCCAGGTGAGTCCTGGCACGCCAGGTGCAGGGAAGGCTGCATAAATAAAGCCAGAGGTGCAGGGCCTGCTCCCAGCAGCCTGCAGTTCAGGCAGATGGAGCAGTTCAGCCGTCATTAGGGCTGGAGTTGCCTCTGAGGTTCAGATACAGGGCAGGGGGTGGGGGACAGGACGCAGGTTAGGACAGGTACAGAGGACCCCACACGCGAGCAAAGTGGGCAGAGGAGATGCCTGCGGTACTGGGGTTGGGAGCGCTAGTACACAGCAGTATAGCATACCCATCCTACACAACCCCACTCCCCTAACCCACCAGCCCTGGACAGAGGTTTGTCCCATGAGCCTCAGGACCTGCCTGGCTTAGACTCTGCTCCCATTTTACTACGTGACCTTGGCCTCTGTCAGCCTCGGCTTCCTCAGCTGTAGACTGAAAATAACATCAATCCTGATTATCATGGCTGTCTGCATTAGCCTATAAAGGGAGCTAGAGCCTGAAACAGTCTCTTTCCTCACACCCAACACCATGAGAGGAGGTGTGCGCTGGCTGTCCCCTTGTGGGAGGAGTGGCAATAGCAAGTGGAGGGTTCCACAGCAGCAGGCAGGAAAATGACATGCTGAGTTTCTTCCACAGGGAAAGCCCAGCACCTTTCTTAGTGGCTGCTTGTCCCACACTAGGCCTCCCAGGGGTCCTTTATTCCTACTGCTGACATTCAACTTTCACCTCTGAAGAAGGGATTTAAGGAGTGGAATGCAGAGGAAACACTGGAAAAGCTCACTGTGTCCTCCTCAGACCCCTGAAACAGTACCCAGGGGCTTTTCAACACCACCTAGGACTCTCGTCCAACTCTGTCTTTCCAGTGACGGAGTCCATCTCACAAGTGCTCTGCTTGGCTCAGAATCCACAGGATGGAATCACAAAGTAGGGTATGTCTAGGCCACACTGGTACCCAGAACACCTGTATCCCCACAGCTGGGGGGGCATTGTGCTGTGGCGGGGGCAGTGGTGGGCTGGAGCTGGTTCATGTTACCACATACCAATGCATATGAGCTTGGGAGAGTCAATGACGTACATCTATTTCCAACTCCAAGTTCAGTGATACAAGTTGAAATCTGCCAGGAGCATTAACACCACAGAAATTGACAGAAGCTAAAACCAGGCATTTTTTTTTTTCTCTCCAGAGAGCCAGTTACAAGGTGTTGGTTAGAGGAGGGAGTAGGGACATTAGCTTGGCAACCTAGAACATGTATGGGGAAGGCAGAACTCATCTGGTTCACAGTCAGCCTGTGTGGATAGGGAAACTGAGTCCCAGAGAGAGGCAGGGAGTGCTCAGAGTCACACAGGAAGCTCAGACAGAGCTGGGTACAAAACTGGAGCCTCCTGCCTCCAAGACCTGGGCTCTATCTGTTACAGATGGGCCATCTAGAAACCCAGGTGTGGGGGATCAGGAGTGGTGTGCTCTGGGTGCCAGGAGAGGGAGTCTGCTCAGCTACAGACAGCTTTGGATTGTTGCCTGGCCCACTGGCCTAACTTCCTCCATTTTCCACACACCACTGCCCTACTCAGCAGTGTAGGTAGTGTAGTGTACCAGGCCCTAGGCTCGAGGTCCCCAAGACATGTGAACTGAGGACACTGCCTTCCCAGAGGTGACAGTTTCATGACACAGTGTGCTACATACTGTAGTAGGGTCGCAGCAACAGGAGGTGCAGAGGGCATCACCCAGCCCGTGGGGATCAGGTGCCGGGGTATTAGAGGGGGTTTCTCAGAGGAGGGCCTGGAGGCTGAGTTGTCCCACAGAATGGGTGTGACAACTGGTGAAGAAGGAGACAGACGCCTGGATGGAGGCTGAGCAGCAGGCAGCCGAGCTTGCACACTCAGGGAAGTGTGTGGGTGGCTGGATCTGATGCAGCCTGGAGGTGTGTGAGAGAGGGGAGTAGAAGAGGAAGCAGGAGTCTGGTCTCGAATGGCCTAAGTACAATCTGTCTAGGGTGGGCTGTGGGCAGGGGGCAGGATAGGGGACAAAGACTCAGGGGCAAGGCTGGGTTTCCCAAAGCAGGGACTAGGACTTGTCCACATGTCCAGCCACCCCCCCCACCCCCCCCAGGGCTCTAGGACATGTGTGATGAGGGATGTCTGATATATGTCTCATTCTTCCTATACCACCTGTTTGCCCAGCTGGTACTTCTCTAGGGCCACCCACAACCCCTGCACAGAGCAGGACATACACTGGCAGGCAGGGGCTGGGGTCCCTCTTCTCGGGTGGGAACCCCACTGGCCCCTGAGGATTGGCTGGAGGGCCAGAGCAGCCAGTTGCTGTCACAGATCCTGAGCCAGAGGGCAGTAGGGTGACCATCTGCGCACCGTCCCGTGACCCTCTCCCGCCCCGGTCTCCAGCATCACCTGCACGGAGGAGCGGGAGGCCCGGGCCTTGTTGAGCGTGCGCCGGCGCTCCCAGCGGTGGATGGAGTCTTGCACCTCCACACTCAACTGCCGGGTCACCGTGATCTTGTCATAGTTCTTGATGTGCTCCAGGGCCCCGTAGGTGGTGGTCAGGTAGTAGGAACCTGCGGGTCAAAGATGCGGAGGCTGAGCTAGGACCGCCTGGGCCACCCGCAAGAGGAGCGAGCTTGTCTAGACTTGGCCGGCCCCGCCCACCTCCTCCAAACCCCGCCCACCTCTCCAAGCTCCACCCGCTACAGCCGCTAGGGGGCGCCTGCACTCTGTTAGCTGCTTCACCCGCTGAGGTCCACCCTAGCGCATTCCATCCCTACCGTCCGCCCAGCTCAAAACTTTTCACAGGCTTCTCTTCAGAAGGAAATGCTTACTTTAAAAAAGATGTTATAAAATGAGTACTAAAGTATTTTAAAATTTAAAGGATACATAAGAAACGGAGAAAGAGGGATAGGTGCCGTCAGGGAGGCAGGTGGGTGGGGGACTTCTCAGTGTGCGCGGTATACAATGTTGAGCCATGTGAATGTATTACGTAGTGTAAAAGCAAATCTTAAAAGATGTGGAGGAAAATTTAATTATTACATGCAGTTTTTAAAGATTTAAAGTAAGTTAAAAATGTAAATGATTCAGTTCTCCACTTCCTTTACTCTTCTTAAGGTAATTCACCCCATACACACATCACGCCCCCTCACTATGAGCAGAAGAAACCGAGTCTCAGAGAGGGAGGGTGGCTTGGCCAAGGTCACGTAGTGATGGGGACCCAGAGGAGGCGGGTCCTCCTCACTCTGTTTTATTTTGATCGCCAGCATTACCCACTTCCACATGCTTGCTTAGGCTTCCCTACCTCTTGCTAGACCTTTCTCCTTGGCCCTTGAGTGCCAGACAACAAATTCTGACACGAAGCAGATTCTGCCAGTGGTCCATCCAAATCCCCACCTGCCCTTTTAATCACTGAGCTCCATTGTGATTTGGGAAAGTAACACTGGACAGAAAATGCTCACTTCCCAGATGCCCTGGAGGCTGGGTTGAGTGGGCAGGAGTGGAAAACTCGTGGCAGGGGTGCTTCCAGGAAAGTTCTTTCAAACGGTCTTATTCAGTTGATATATCCTTCTTGCCCATCCCTCAGCCTTGCCTGAAACACAGAGGTGAACCTGAAGGCACAGCAGCTGTCTTGTCATCACAGCTTACAGGCACAAAGAAAAAGGTCCACATGCTCAGCAAAGATGGAAAGAACTGAGTCCATGATTCCCTGATGGCAGGGTGCAGACTGTCATCCTTATAAGTTGCTTACTCTGGACTTTTTGTGTGTGTGTGATGGAACTGAGGTTTGAACTCAGCCTCGTGCTTACTTGGCAAACACTCTACCATTTGAGTCATGCTCCCAGTCATTTCTTGTTTTTAGCTGTTTTTCAGATAGGGTCACCTGATCCATGATTCTCCCACTTATGTGCCCTCTGACTCCCCCCCCCCCACCATGCAGCTGGGATTATAGAAGTGAACCACTGTGTTTGGCTTGTTGGTGGAAATGGGGCTAACATTTTGCCCAAGTTGGTCTCAAACTGTGATATCCTGGATTTCTTTTTTTTTTGGGTGGCACTCGGGTTTGAACTCAGGGCCTCACACTTGCTAGGAAGGTGCTCTACCACTTGAACCACTCTGCCAGCTATCTTAGATTTCTTGACACAAGGGACAAATAATCTCTTGTTCTGATTCTATGATTAGTTATACTGAGTTATTTGCAACCCAAAGCATTCCTAATGGTCACATTGAATGAAACTGTCTACTTTTCTCTACAAGTTCTGTAACTAACATGGGTGAAGCTCGCACCGTGGCTACAGAGGGTGGGTTAAGATAAAGGGGATTATGGCTACAGATCTCCTGCCCTGTCACAGCACTATAGATAGAGACATATTTTGAAATCAGTTAGTCAAGACTAATATGGAAACTGGTGTGGTGTCCCTAGTTGGAGAAGAGCCATAAACCATTCACATGCCTCCCTTTCTGGTGGAGCTCAAAGCCTGAATGACCATGAAGCTGTCCCTGTCCTGTCAGCCCTTGCTGCCTCAAGAGCCCCAGCCCTCCAGTAGTACATCCCGCTTGCTGGCCCTGTCCGTCCTGGGCTGTGGGTGCAGGAGGAGGGTGCAGTGTTCAGTTGAGCACTCTTGGCTTCGGAATCAGAGGGGGCTGGGCCCCTGCCCTGTAGCAGGCAGCCTGGTGAGCTCGGGTGAGCCACTCAGCCACTTTCCTCTATGTGCCTCAGTCTCAGCTGCAATCCTGTGATGTTGTAAAAAGTAAGCAAGATGAGCCTTAGTGATGTGAGTGACATATGGTGGTTAGTGACCTCAGAGAGAAGTTATGGGGACCTTTTGCCCTCTTGGGAGGGAGAGGAAGGACTCCAAACCCTGCCAGGGCCCACTTGCCTGCTCAAGCCCTGTTTTTCCACAGCCAGAGTGGTCCCCAGAGCCACCTTCTTTGATTGAGACTATGTAGTGCCTTCTATGACCACTAGGTGGCGGGCGACACCACTGTGAGTTTTTCACTGGGTGAGTGTTGTCCAGGGATTGGAAAAACCCAGGTAAGCTATCAGCTGGACATGTTCGGATGTCAGCCACCTGGGGGAGGGAATGTGGCAAAGGACTCCATGAGGGCACTTGAGGGAGAGGTTTGGATCCTGGGCTGGCTCCAGTCAGGTGCGCAGAATTTGTGACTGCCTGACTTCTCTGGATGCAAGGGGGAGGACCTAGAAAGAAGGCCAGGTGCCATGAGCTCTCCTTGTGCTCACAGGAAGCTCCAAATGCCTGCTGCAAAGGCAGTGGGACCCAGAAACTGGTCCTCGGCTAAATCACATCACATGGACCAGGCCTGAAGGAGCACAAAGGCCCCAGAGCACAGGGAGCCAGCTTGCAGGCATTCTGTGGCATGCACAACTGTTGTTCATGTGAACTGTGAAACACAGGATGACAGAGCCCAACTCCAGCTCTTGCTCTGTTTCCAGTGCTCTGGTCCGAGCTCTCATTCATATGTGGAAATCTTCACCCACAAGGACAGAGTATGAAGGGTGGGTCTTTGGGAGGTGACTAGGTCACAAGGGTGAAACCCTCATGAATTTGATTAGTGTCCTTATGAAAGAGGCCCAGAGAGCCCCTGCATCCCTTTCACCATGTGAGGGCATGGCAGGAAGGTGCCATCTATGAGGAATAGGCCCTCACCAGACACTGAATCTTCCAGTGCCTTGATCTTGGCCTTCCCAGCCTCTGAACCTATGAGAAATAAATTTCTGGAGTCAAAAGTTACCCCATTTGTAGCTTTTTGACATGGCAGCCCAAATGGACAATCACCCCCTGCAGAAAGCTTGTACCTCCAGTATGAGAATCCCGATTCAGCCCAGTGGCTTCCTCCTCCTAGCCAGAGAGGGAAGGTGACCTGCCGAAGGTCTCCAGCCAGTCATGCAGAGCTGGGTCAGGCCCAGGCTCCTTGCTGCTCTTTTTACCTAAGTCTCTTAGTTCTCTTCTGTCCCAAGAATCTCTGAGCTCCATGCAGCAAGGGAACACAGGGCCCAGCATCAGCGGGGACTCGGTCACCCCCTTCTCTGTCCCTGCAGGCCAGCGCCCTCATTCATCTGCCCTTTGGGGCTGAAGCAATGGAGCCTGTGTGTCTGTACCCAGCTGAGGCAGGAGGGCCAAGCAGGAGACTGAGGATCGCCTCCTACCTCATGCTTCCCCTCTGCCCTTGGCCCAGACACAGACAGAGGGTGGAGGTTGTTGAAAGATGAAGCTTCTGCCCAAACTGGAGACCCAGACCCCCCAAGGCCATCTCAGCAGCAGAGGTGAACACCCGTGAGGCATAGCCTGTGCTATGTGCTGGGACCTCTACACCCCGGATTTTGGGATGGGGCAGAGAAAAGCCCAGAGAAGCCCCTACGCCACCCATGCCACCTCATGGTGTGTGCAGTATGGTCTTTTGGGAACTGCTCTGCAGACACCCTATGTGTACCTTAGAAATCTCTGCGTGGGCAGAGGAGGGTGGGCTCTGCTGCTCCAGCCTAACAAAGCAGATTGTGGGGCCTTTGGGCAGCCTGCATCAGAATCTGTGAACCGTTAAGGCCTTTGCAGATGGATCTATACTTTGGCTTTTCCCCAAAGGACCAGAAGTGGCCCAGCAGAGACCAGGTCTCCTGCCTGAAGGACAATACTTTCCCACCTGTCTCCCTTGGCTCCTGGGAGCAGGAAGAAGGGTCCCAGGAGGCCATGGAAGGATTAGGGAGGAGAGGGGTGCTGGCCCAAGAATGTCCCTGTTCAGCAGTGTGCCTAGCTTGGAGACCTTTGGGTGCAAGGATTCAGGCTGAGGGCAGCATAGGAGCCATGGAGATCACCACTGGCTGGGAGTGAGCCAGTGCTCAGACATGCACACAGAGCCAGAGTCACAGGTTCCCTTTTCCTCCACCCACCATGACTTTCACGGACCTCATCTGTTAGATTCACAACTCTGTAGGGTTTGGAAGTGACTTCTCCCTGGGTCGATCGACTGCACATGGCTACTGTGGTAAATTTGGAAAACAGAAGTTGCTAATTGCTCTGTGTCCAGGGCTTTGCTTGGTCACTTGAGTCCCCTCTGGCCCAACCTCTATCCCACCAGCCTACTTCATTTCATGTCAATATCTATCACATGCTATTGGATGTGAAATTCTTATTTGCTTGTTTGTCTAACCTGTTTGAGGTCTGATTCTCCCTAATGGAAGGAAACTTCCCTGAGACACGAGCTACTCCATGGCCACCTGGCACAAAGCAGAGGCTCAGTGATGATTGAGAGAGGGGTCCTTGCCCAGGTACTTAGTAAGTCTTAGGACTCAGCCTTTTTCATATTAAGGCAATATGTCAGTTCTTGGCATATTGATTGGTAAGAACACTTTCTTTCGGTTTATGGTTAATATCTTCTCTTTATGGTCATTTTGATATGCAAAAGTTTTAATCTCTGGAGGTTAGATGGATTCAAGTCCACAGTGAAGAGTCCTGTGAGACTTCGCCAGTGCTGTCCCTCTGAGGGGAAGTCTTCGGAAAAGGGATTTAGGGCCAAAAGCCAATCTCAATCACAGCCCCCGACCCTTGCTGTCCTCTTTACCCTCAGGCTGCAGGGCCTGTGTGTGACAGGTCAGTCTGCCTGGAGGCTCCTGCCCACCAACTCAACCCCTGGCTGCTTCCCCAGTCATGAGTGGGGCTGGTGAAATCTAAGAGGAGGGCCTGAGGCGGTGGAGGCCGAAAGTATGGGGTGCAGAGTTAGGCGTTTGCTCATTCTTATGAGACTCTTGGCCTTACCTGTCTTTGAAAATCAGTAAAACACAGCATTTTGAGCTAAAATGAATGTTTCTTTCAATGCAAAATAGTGATAGCTGGGGAGGATTCCTGTGACATACAGACTCAATACCTAGAATCATTCACTGCAGTCCAATGAATGACTAGATGGATTGATGAATAGATGGGTGGGTGGATGGATGGATAGATGGATTGGTGAGTGGATGAGTGGGTAGATGGATGGATGGATAGATGGATGTGTGTGTGGGTAGGCGGATGGATAGAGGGACGGATAGATGGATGGGTGGTTTGGGAGATAGTTGGGTAGATGGGTGGGTAGGTGGGTGGGTGGATGGATTGGTGAATGGAGGAGTGGGTAGATGGATAGATGGATGGATAGGATGTGGGGGGGTAGGCAGATGGACAGATGGGTGGGTGTATAGGTGGATCGAGAGCTAGGTGGACAAATGAACGGATGGACAATGTGGGGGCTAGGCAGATGGATGGTTGAGGGGTGGATAGGTGGATGGGTAGAATGATGAGGACATAAGTAGATGGACTGGTGGATAGGTGGATGGGTGAACTGATGGGGACAAAAGTGGATGTATGGATGGATGAGAGGATAGGTAGATGGGTGGATGGGGAGATGAGTGGATGGATGGATGGATGGACTAGAGAAAGTTTGGCTGCTCCTGAATTCTTGGGCCTTCTGGAAGACAATTCCTCCAACTGCAGGGAAAGTTTTAAGAGGAAAAAGAAAGTAGATCTAGAGGTTCCAGAGCCACAAGGCAAAGTTACACGAGAGCACAGTCCATGCCACCTGGCTTCAACACACTTCCCTGAGCTGTGGAACAATTACATTGTGCTTACCCCGGGAGATGCTCCTGCAAACACATGCAAAGAGATGCAAAGGGGCCAGCTAATGTCAAGAACCACAAAGCCCAAAGGGACACTCAGGGCTGGGGAGTCCTCCTCCATTCTTCAAGGCTGACATCTCAGAGGACAAGTTGGGCCCCTGATTGCTGATACCAGGGCCACAGTAGCTAAGGGGATTCTTGGTAGAGGCTAAGGCTCAGTGGGCAGAGGAAATGGTGGGAAGGAGAGAGGAAGGGAAACTGAGGAGGGGCACAGCAAACCACACCCCCCCTCACTCTACTGGGAGCTCTGGGTCCTTGACATATCAGTAACCCTGTCCCACTGACAGAGGCCCTGACATTGGCTGGATGAGTGGAAGCTGAGAGTCCCCAGTGTCACCCCATCTAAGAGGCAATCTCCCTGTGAGACTCCTCGTGTGGGCTCTGATATCAGCCTTCTCATTTACACTACCAGCTCCTACTGTTCCCTCTAGGAAGAACACCTTTCCCCTTCTTTATCTACTGACTCTGCTCATCCTTTAATGCTCAGCTAGGCATCACCATCTCAGGAAGCCCTCCTGGACTGCACTGTCTGGGCAGCCAGCTCCCATTCCTTCTGGGCTTCCCACTGTTCTGAAGCTCTGCAAGCAGTGGTAGTGTCCTCTCATCCTGGCTGCTCTGTCCCACTGCTCTGTGAGCTCTCCCAGGTCATGTGCGTGTGGTTCATGTGAACATTCATGTTCCTAGGAGGCGCTTGCTAGGCTGCCTGTTTTGGGGGTGTGCGGTGGGCCTGGGTGGTGACTCACCCTCTCCCAGCTGCAGAGCAGGGTCCATGAGCTCCATCATGTACTCCACGTCCAGAAGCATCTCTGTGAGGTTGCTGCGCGCCAGCACGTACATGAGCACAGGCAGGAAGTCATCGGCCCCGTAGGGCTTCCCTGGGAGGAGGAGAAGGAAGAGGGTGGTGAGAGCCAGGCTGCCCTGGTAGCTGCTCCCTGCCAGGGGTGAGGGACCACGGCTTGCTGGGAACGGTGGCCGACCTTGGAAGAGGACAGTCCCACTCTGTCATGACCCTCACAGTGAGCCCCCTGGGTTACAGCTCCCTGGAGGTCAGAGGCCCAGGGCAGGTTTGGGAAGAAGGAAATGAGAAGGAGCTCTGGGCTGGGGTGAGTGAGACCCCAGCCCCTGGCTCCTCTCCATGACCACCTCTGGCTGCTCTGAAAACTGCTGCTACCCATGGGGAGATGTTCACAGAGTTCAGGGCTTCCCACTGCATCGGAGGTCATGCAGGGCAGGCAGAGGGCACTGCCATCCTGGTTTGCTCTGGGCTGGCTCTGAGGTCACCTACCTGGCAACACACACCAAAGGTTGTCCCCAACAGGGACAGGATGCCCAGAAGGTCTCGCTGGCACCTGGTTGTCTCTGAGTTCACCCAGGACCTAATGCCTTGCCAAGCAGCTCTGCACAGTGGGGATCTCCAATCCACCTGGTCACTTCCGCTAACCAAGGCAGTCTAGCACTCAGTCCAGCTCAGCTGGAGGCTGCCATGTTTGCATGAAACTCCAGAGGGCCCCATAGCAGCAGACCCTCTGTGTCTCAGACTAATAATCAGTCCAAATGTGTGCCTAGCCATTCACGGGTCCTTCAAAAAGTTTACGTCTATTTGACATGTTTTACAAAGGATTTAGGTAACTGTCAGGAAAACTCCTAAGACATGAAACTCTAAATAAAATTTATACGTCGGAACAATTATAAATTACTAGAGGAACTACAGGAAAAAGAAAAACACAAATAACCAAGAACCTGCACAACTGCTCCTTTGGAGTTGCAAATCTGATTTTGAGTTTCCCAGTGGCCAAAGTGAACAGGAAAACAGGATCAGTTCTATTCTTCTCACTGTCCACCAGAAGAAGGTATAGCTGTGTTTTGAAAGAACCAAGTTATTTTTCTAACCCTTTGCATAATAAAATGTTCCCATGTGGCTTCACTTGGGGGATATGAGATGTAACTGACAGGCTCCTGCAGCACCCAGTGACTTTTCATCACACTTGACCCAACAAGCACTTCTGGGGAGGAAAGTAAGTTTCCTAACTGACTGCACACTCACACCTGCTCCTCATAACAGCTAGCTAAGTAAGTGTTTTTACTTTAGAGAGTGCAAGTGATTGTTGCTTGGCCAAACATTCTGTGGTAGAACGTCAGGGTTGGGTCTCTGGCCTCAGGTCTGGGTTCAGATCCCAACTCCACCACTTACTAACTGTAGACCAGAGAAAGTTCTCTCCCTTTCCTAACCTGAGCAGAGAAGTTGGAGAACGAAGTGCCTGGGGGTTGGGGGTGAAGAAGGAAATGACACAGGTGGTCAGTGCCAGGTTGACATATTGGAGCTTAAGGCAAAAGGAAAAATTATAGCTATTTACCAAAATATCTTCTCACATTTTGAACCAGGTGGGAAAAGCTAACAAATGCTCCACAGTAAAAATAACTCACTACATGTTACCGAATTGTTCCCACACCATCAGGGCTCACCGACCATCACGAACGCTAAGATCCCATGGTCTACACAGCAATGCAGACAAAAGCCCGTCTTCACTTAAAATGCTGCATCTTGTAGCTCGTGCATTTCTTGCCTTAGGTTTTATGTTTTGAAGTACAGCATTAAAATATTGTTTTTCTTGCCCTATGACCCCCAAATTCCATCCTTAGTTACATACCCAAGAGAAATGAAACCATAGTTCCACATAACAACGCGTAGGGAGTTCTCTGGCAGCTTTACTCACAGCCAAAAGGTGCAAGCAGCCCAACACTCACCTCCCAGGAAGGGTGACAGAAGGTGGTCCATCACCTGATGGGACACGACGTGGTGATAAAAGGAGCAAGCAAGTGTGCACACTGTGATTCAAAGTCATCCTTAGGGAAAGAGGCCAGTCATGAAAGCTACACACCGTGTGTCCTGTGTGGTTCCATGAATAAGAACCATCCAAAATAAGCAACTCTATGCAGGCAGAGTAGATCTGCATGGAAGGGTGGCTGCTCAAGGGGGCAAGGTTTCTTTTTGTGGTGATGAAAATGTTTTGGAATTAGAGTAGTTTTGATTGCATAACCTTGTGCATATCTTAAAAACCAGTGCATTGTTTTTGTAAAAAGTGCACACATGCACCCACACTTCACTATGGCACTGTGAGGGTCTGCTACCTCCTTACCTTTCACACCTAAGGTGAGAATCCCACCTGACCCAGTCCTGTTCCTAGTGGGGAGCTTAGAGCAGGGCTGGTGGCTGGCAGCCTCTAGGGTGGGCACTGGGATGGGCCCTGAACACAGGGTGGCAGAAGAAGGGATCGGAGCTGGTCCAGTTCATGGTCCCTCCTTGCCTAAAGCCAAGGGCTGGGTCAAGAGCTGTGATTTCAGAGTCACAGATAACCAGCTGCATGGGGCCTCACGTTCCTTGCCTGCTCAGCCTTGTTCCAGCCGGGCACAAGTGCCAGAGACCACGGCTGTTGCCCATCCTTCTGCGTTACCCATCGTCTTCAGTTTCACAGTAACAGAACTCCTGACTTAGCCAGGACATGGCCTCCCAAAATAAAGCGACATCTCCCAGCTTCCCTTGCAGCTAGGTGCAGCCGTGTATGTAAATTCTAGCTAACGGGATGGGTGAGGGAAGTGGTACGCTAAACTGCCAGGTTGTGCCCTTAATGGGGAGGAGCAGGTGGCTGGAGAAAAGTCCTGAGTGTGGTGGAGCAACAAGGTGGCAAGAGCCTGGTTCCCTGAGCTCAGGTAGAAGAGAGGTGTCTGGTGTCCTGCTAGCCTGTGCTGTCTGCACAAGTGAAACAAAGCCCAGTTTTGCACAAGTCATCAGCGTGTGTGGTACCTGTGGTTTGAGCCTAACTTCACCGAAGGTGAACTGCCCACCTCAGTGAACAGTGTCCCAGCTAGTGGCCAGAACACAGGGCACCCTCTCTCACTCGTCCACTCACCAGAAGCCTCTTGTAACCACCCTGTCCCTCACGATCTACCTGCCCAGGTAATGAGGTCTGGCTTTCCTGGATTCCAGTGCAAACCAGAGAAACAATAACGAGTGAGCATAGGGAAGACATAGGCACTCACCAGTGAAGTCAGCTGTCCCTTGGGGCCCTCTGCCCCTCTGCCCCTCTGCCCTGGCCTGACAGGCAGTGCCCTCACAGGGGATGGGCTGCACCCCAAGGAGCCGCAAAATGCTGCTTCAGAGGGCTGGGGTGGACACCTGTCCCCCACATCCCCACCCCTCCAGGCTGGCCTGTTCTCCCATGGCACTGTAATGCGGTGCTGGCTCCATTGAGGCCTCCATACTCTGTTGTCCAGTGGATTGAGTTCTGCTTGCAACTCACCCTGTTCTAGCCGTACTCCTTTTGTACATTTACAAAATGGAGCCAGCTGTGCTGGTCTTGAGAACCTTTCAGGGTTTTTGAGAGAATAGGATGAGGAAGATGATTTCCAACATGTGGAGTGCTATGGGAAGACGAGCTCTTACTGACCCGGGGTTCTGCTTTCTCCAGTGGTCAGTTTTCCCACCTGTAAGATGAACGAGCTGAAAGGGTGGTAACGCACAGCATTGACGATTCAGGCTGACTGGAGTCTAAGTCCCAGTGTGTGGCTTATGAGCTGTGTGACCTTAGCTTACTTGCTCTACCTCTCTGAGCCTGCGTTTCTAGACATATGTGAAACAACACACATATCTTGGCCATCCTGTTGTGTTTTGGTGAGCCTCCTGTGACAGGTTCACACGCAGTGCCTCCCGTGCTCCCATGGAAACGCCTGGGATAGAAGAACATCCCTTGGGCTTCTTCCTCTTGCTCTGTGTTCTGCACCTTTTGCTTCTTTTCCTGGGCTCTTCTCTCGGAAAACTAGTCAGTTTGGGGAAGGCTTCCAGCACCGTTATAAGCCAAGACAGGACTGCAGAGCTCGTGGGGAGAGATTACTTTATGCCTGGAGCTGTTTTTCACATGGATAATTTAATTATTAGAATCTGGCTTGCAGGGGATTTTTTTCTTTTTTGATTTACGAGTTAGAGGATAAGGCAAGTCCAACAGCACAGTTGTGAATCGGTACTGTGCCTTTAAGAATTCACCTGTGGAGGGGGAGGTGGCCCAAATAACGTAGACACATGTAAGTAAATGTAAAGTGATAAAATAGAAATTAAAAAAAAAAAGAATTCCCCTATAACTCATGCACCACTCTGTCTCAAAGAAGACAATTTTTCTCTGAATGCAACTGGGCAAGTTATTTTATGGTAAAAGAGAGGTTTTCAGCTGTGGTGACTTTGTCCCTGGGGGAACGTGTGTCCTGGTCTGGAGTTGCTTCTTGGTTGTCACAACTGGCTTCCAGGCTGGGGATGCTGGGAAATCCCCTCCACTGTCCACAACAGTCCCAGATGACCACAGGCCAAGGGCAAGAAGCCCTGTCTGGGAGAATGACTTCCGGTCAGAGGAGGGTCCAGCTGGGTTCCTGAGCACAGGGACCCCAAGGCCAGGCCATGTGGTGTGACAGGGCCCCCCAGAACCATGGCTTTGTGCCCTGTAGACATTTTCTTCTTGAAGGACCCTGGCCGGCCCCTCAGGCAGGACGTTGGGTCCATTCCTGCACTTCTCTCTACGCTGTGCTCAGCTGCGCACTGCAGGGGACTCCGATCTCATGTCTGTCTCTCCAGCCCTTGTCCCCAGCACACACAGCCTGGCACTCAAAGGCCCAGGAGGTGAATGAATGCCGAGCCACAGAGCTCTGGTCTAAACTCCAGAGCCCCTAGGAGCCTCTCCCTTGTTAAGCCAGAGCCTGCATGTCTTCCCTGGAGGCCAGCTCTTCCTGGCACCCTAGAGCCCATTGCCCTCTGTCCCGAGATGCAAGGCAGGTCTTCCCTCTTCCTTGGGGGCCCTCGGGCCAGAGCCCCAGCGGAGTCCTCTAACTGCTT